ACAAGGGTGCCCACTCTCACCACTACTATTCAACATAGTTTTGGAAGTTTTGGCCACAGCAATCAGAGCAGAAAAAGAAGTAAAAGGAATCCAGATAGGAAAAGAAGAAGTGAAACTCTCGCTGTTTGCAGATGACATGATCCTCTACATAGAAAACCCTAAAGACTCTACCAGAAAATTACTAGAGCTAATCAACCAATATAGTAAAGTTGCAGGATATAAAATTAACACACAGAAATCTCTTGCATTCCTATACACTAACAATGAGAAAACAAAGAGAAATTAAGGAAAGAGCGTATTTTAAGAGATGAGAGGTGAATACAAATGGTGACCACTCTATGATGTAAGATTAATAAAATATTTTTTACATGAGGGAGCCTATCAATTTAATATTGTTAGAAAATTGATTACTAAAATTGGATATAACTAGATTTGAAGTTTCAGTGAGTTTTTGTTACAAAGAATTATAGACACCAGTAGAGTGCCTGACTTTGAAAAGTTTGCCATGGCAAAGGCAACAGAATGATCATACAATAAAAGCATGATGATGGTGATGACAATGATGATAACTACTACCAGGTACTTGACTTTTATCATTTACTCTTCACAAAACAATTCTGCAAGGGGAAATTATTATAGTACTCCATTTTATAGATGAGGAAACTAAGGTGTAGAGAGGTTAATTAACCGGTCCATCACATGTAGTGGCAGTCAGGATTTGACCCAGGATTTTGAAAGAAGAAACAGCACTCTTAACTACTATCGTTGATTTCAGTAATAGTACCTACTTCAAAAATTGTAAAGATTAAATTAAGAAATACACCCAAAACCCAAAATTTAACCACACGCATTAAGTGCTGTGTAAGTATTAACCCTTATCTTCATCACCCAAAATTACACAGCCATTTTGTGGCAGAGTCCGGATTCCAAGTTAAAATTCATTCTCTTAACCATTACGACACTGTGGAGTGAGCCCGCGTCATCACAGGAGCGCACAGGAGGAATACCTAATTTTAGGAAGGGGAACGGAGAGGGAGTGTGTCAGGTGTCAAGAAGCTTTTTAAGATAAGACACAAAGCTCGGTCCACAAGAGCAAGCGGACGGGGAAGAGTGAGTAAAACAGCGAGGCGGTTGACGGAACAGCGTATTTGTAACAAGGTGATTGGATCCAACATTCGGGTGAGCAGTGGCGCATGATGAAGCTTAAGAGTCTTCATACCCAATTCCATGCTGCGTATGGTTTTGCAATGTATTCTTTAAAAGACGTCACTGAATAATATATTCGAACACACAACCTTCCCTCCCAACCCTCCCACAGAGATGGTTCGTTACAGACGCTATAAGAAACTTCCAAGAGCAACTCAAATCTGCAAAAGTAAAGAACAATCACGTATTGAAAGAAAAAAAAAACTTTAGCATTTTCTCTCTTATTGAATCTGGCCAAGAAGTAAAAAGGATAGAAAGTAAGGTGACTCTTGCGAGCAGATAGGGCGGGTGCAATCTCTGGTTTCCGGCGTCCTCGGTTGCTAAGGGAGACCGGAAGCGCCCGTGTGCTCGGTGGGTGCAACCATAGAGTGCCGGAAGCAGTAACCATAGAGTGCTGGGGAAAGCGTGAGCAGAGGGGTCGGGGAAGAAGGCTGCAGAGACTTGGTTTCCGCGGAAATGACAACGTTAGTGCTGGATAACGGAGCTTACAACGCCAAAATCGGTTACAGCCATGAAACTGTCTCGTAAGTGTTCGCTGCCCGCGAGGGACAAAGCATATATACCTAGTAGTTACATGTGCTACGCTTCATTTTGGCCGTCTGTAAACTGCAAACGCCCCGGCGCGGCTCTTTCTGTTGGAGGGATTCTGGGCTTGGGACTGGGTAGCTGGGAAGCTTTGAAGTGGGACTTGGATTACTGATTTTGGATTTTGTGGCCCCGGAAGTGGGACGTGTGTTTCGTTTCGTAACAGGAAGTAGGAAAGTAGGCTTCTAAAAGAAGAGGTTCCCAAATGAGGGGCCTGTGCAGAACGTTCCTGAACCGTCTGGAATGGTGGGCAGCATTTTGCGTGTATATGCGTTTTTGCTGGGAAGCAGTTATGGCTTCCGTCAAATCCTCCACGGGTTCAATGACCCCCCACAGTGTAAAAACCACTGTGTCAGTGACTGAAGACTTTGAAGTCTTTGTATTCAAGCCCTTCTAAGTGCTCTCTTACTGACCTGGTTGATTTAGACTCGGTTAAACTGGCGTGCTGCTATTCATGGGGTCGCAAAGAGTCGGACAGGACTGAGCGACTGAACTGAACTGAACTGAAACAAATAATACACTGGCATTCATAAACTATTTACCTTTGAGTAAAGACTCAGATCAGTTCAGTCGCTCAGTCCTGTCCGACTCTTTGCGACCCCGTGAACCACAGCACGCCAGGCCTCCCTGTCCATCACCAAATCCCTGAGTCCACCCACACCCATGACCACTGAGTCGGTGATGCCATCCAACTATCTCATCCTCTGTCGACCTCTTCTCCTCCTGCTCTCAGTCTTTCCCAGCATCAGGGTCTTTTCAAATGAGTCAGCTCTTCGCACGAGGTGGCCAAAGTATTGGAGTTTCAGCTTCAACATCAGTCCTTCCAATGAACACCCAGGACTGATCTCCTTTAGGATGGACTGGTTGGATCTCCTTGCAGTCCAAGGGACTCTCAAGAGTCTTCTCCAACACCACAGTTCAAAAGCATCAATT